TGAATTAGTGATTGTTATCTTTTATTTTAGAATGTCTACAGTGTTTTCAATATCAGATTTGTCAATTGCTGTAATGACCTTTGTGGTATGGAGGAACTTGTTTATTAAATCAGCATAGAGAGAACATTTTAATAGAAAATGGCTTTCATCTTCTATTTGTTTTTAGTGGCATCCCACTAAATACAAGAGGGGCTATGTTGTATCCCACTAAATCCAAAAGGGGATATGTGGTATCCCACTAAATACAAAAGGGGATGTGTGGCATCGCACTAAATACAAGGGGGATATGTGGCATCCAAATAAATACAAAAGAGGATAGGTGGCGTCGCACTTAATACAAGAGGGGCTATGTGGCATCCAAATAAATACAAAGGTGACTATGTGGTATTCCACTAAATCCAAAAGGGGATATGTGGTATCCCACTAAATACAAAAGGGGATGTGTGGCATCGCACTAAATACAAGGGGGATATGTGGCATCCCACTAATTACAAAGGGGGATATGTGGCATCCCACTTATTACAAAAGGGGACATGTGGCATCGCACTAAATACAAAAGGGGACATGTGGCATCGCACTAAATACAAAAGGGGACATGTGGCATCGCACTAAATACAAAAGGGGACATGTGGCATCCCACTAATTACAAAGGGGGATATGTGGCATCCCACTAATTACAAAGGGGGATATGTGGCATCCCACTAATTACAAAAGGGGATATGTGGCATCGCACTAAATACAAAGGGGGATATGTGGCATCGCACTAAATACAAAGGGGATATGTGGCATCACACTAAATACAAAGGGGATATGTGGCATCGCACTAAATACAAAGGGGATATGTGTCATCCCACTAATTACAAAGGGGGATATGTGGCATCCCACTAATTACAAAAGGGGATATGTGGCATCGCACTAAATACAAAGGGGATATGTGGCATCGCACTAAATACAAAGGGTATATGTGGCATCCCACTACTAAGCTATAAATCAAGTTTCATTCTGAGTTGTACTGGTACATGAACACATAAAACAATGGATCATGTGAATAATGCAGTTGCATGTACATTTAGTTTATTCTGATTTTAGCAAATGACATTTCTTTATAACCGCCCTTTTCATAGAGAAGTCCAACATGATTGTCATCAATAGAAGACAAACAGGAATATTCACTACTTCCCGCATTGATCACTAGAGCACCATCCCAGCTTTTTCCAAAGTCCAAACTCCATCTCAAAGTCATGTTGACTCGAGCTGAAGGGTTTGCTGGATTCGAGAAGAATAACACATTATTGTGAGAGATAAGACTTCCATCACATGCTGGGTCTACAAGTGTTTCATCCAAGCGTATATTTTGAAATGGAAAAGTATCAGCACCATCTTCACTTGTTGCAATAATCCGACATCTGCAGTGGTAGTGATGCTCATTTCTGGAATTCAACATCAATGATCCATCAGGAAGTTCAATAATCTAAGAAATTAAATAAAGTTTATACATATACTTTTTAGCTACTTGTCAAACATTAAGACTATAACAATGACATAAGACGGCGATCACGTTAGAGGCCAAGTTGGAACATTAAGAAACTTAAGTCGGCAGTTGCTGAAAAAAACTTGATAGATGCTCAGGACCGAAACTTAGCACATAGCTGAACGCTCGGCAAGAACCAAAATCACGCCCTTGTGATGAATTTAAAAGAACAAGTACTTATTCATACTAGTATGACACTACTATGGAGGGAAGTGCAGCTAGATACGGTTGGATGAATGAAACAAAAGCAAACCATCGGCAGCGACGTATATATTTATGTGCTGCTGCAAAAGTTTTTTTCTTGAAATGCTACATCGACATGGAAACATGTCAAATCATGTGCCGAGTACTTGTAATAAATACCATAATAGCAAATGGACATAATTTTGATATAGTAATTATCATATGTATATCGTTTTCTATGTTTGGTCCAAATAATAGATCAAAGAATGAGGGCATGATTTCAGCACGAGCCAAGTGGGTCCTGACAAACGTGAACACAATTGCTGTAATCCTCCTGTAAACACAAAAGATTAATAATTTTGGCACACGGTGAGATCCCATAACGTGAACATAGGAATAGTCCTTGTATTATATGAGATATATGTATAAACTATCCAGGCATGTATGAAATATGGCTATGTGAAACTTTAAACAAGATGACCACCATTTTGGATTTGATGGTGACAAAAATGCATGTGTATATGATATGATGTCTGATGTTTTTGTGAAGTTTGAACTTGATTGGCCCAGGCATGTGTGAAATATGGTTGGATATGTACGAATAGATGGATGAATGTATGCATGCACAAATGTCAAATGTCAAATTCGGAAGGAAAACTAAAAAAAGCATATTATGGATAAGATATTTTGTTTGGAACATACAGACATAAACAACTAAACAGTACAGCTAAAATAACAGGAAAATGTGATGAAATATAACTGTAATTACTAGAAAATCCAAGTAAATAACTTCACAGAGAGTTTGTCTATCTCTGGAACGTAAATAAATAAAGCCGCAAGAAATTTCAACCTATTTTGTACCTGATCTCCCACTGAATTAATTAGGATCAAATAACTCAAATTTGCAAGCATCTTTAAAACTTGCTTCCAGTGATTTAATAAATGTTTTGGAGAAAATTCCTCAATTAAGTTTCAGTGTCATCTAAGTCAATGTCAGTTATTTTATAGTTAGTTATCTGTAATAAGTTCTTAATAAATGCAAGCCATAAATCATAGAAATTATTTTTACATTTGTAAAAGGCTGCAGCTTGTAGCATATTGGATAATCCATAATCAAGTCTTTTATAATATTTGATAAGAGCTGTACAGATACATGTATCCAAAATATGTGGACAACGAACCAATTCACTTCTGCATGCTATATGTGAAACTTAATATGTAGATTCTCTGCCTCAAAATTATCAGACCATAACTTGTGCTTAATTAAAGCAAACAAAGTTAATCAATAACTTATTATCCCCAGAACCCTTATAGGAATTAATTAGGCAACCACACCAAGGATCTGCACCATATAATGACACAGGTTTAACAATTGAGTCACAAAGCTTACAAGCCAATCCTACTGCATAACACTGATTACTTGATCAAAGCATTTGGTACATTTTAAAGATAGCTTCCTGAGCTTTATAATGTAGCCTTTAAGTGGCTACATGGAATTTACCACTGGAGTGAAACAAAATGCCAATATAATTGTAAGAAACAATTTGACTTTGATTGATATAGAACTTAAATTTATCGCCCAAATTTTTGCCAATACTATAACCTTGGTTTCATTGATGTTGACCTTGAATTTTCATTTTTGCCAATGCTATAACCTTGGTTTCATTGACGTTGACTTTGAATTTCCATTTCTGTTGACACTATGACCTTGGTTTCATTGATGTTGACCTTGAATTTCCATTTTCACCAACACTGTAACCTTGGTTTCATTGATGTTGACCTTGAATTACCATTTTTGCCAATGCTATGACCTTGGTGTCATTGATGTTGACGTTGAATTTCCATTTTTTGCCAATATTATAGCCTTGGTTTCATTGATGTTGACCTTGAATTACCATTTTTGCCAATGCTATGACCTTGGTGTCATTGATGTTGACGTTGAATTTCCATTTTTTGCCAATATTATAGCCTTGGTTTCATTGATGTTAACCTTGAATTTTCATTTTTGGGAATACTGTGACCTTGGTTTCATTGATGTTGGCCTTGAATTTCCATTTTTGGTAACACTATGGCATTGGTTTCATTGATGTTGACCTTGCATTTCCATTTTTGGAAACACTATAACCTTGGCTTCATTGATGTTGACCCTGAATTCCCATTTTGTCAGTACTATGACTTTGGTTTCATTGATGTTGACCTTGCATCTCCATTTTTTCGGCGGCTGTGCCCTCGGTTTCATTGATGTTGACCTTGAATTTCTATTTTTGCCAGTGCTGTAACCTTGGTTTCATTGATGGTGGCCTTGAATTTCCTTTTTTGTCAATACTGTGACCTTGGTTTCAACACCATTCTGCAGCCGTTCATGACTACTGGTAGATGATAAAAGTAACAGATCATCTACATATAAAATACAGTAAGACTTCAAGCTGTTTAATTCAACTGGATCAAAAATGTTCACAGTATCATAAATCCCAATCACAAAGATATTGAAAAATTGAGGGTTGAAGTTACATCCCTGTTTGACATCCCCATGAGAGATAAACAAGCAGCCTCTCGGCTGAGACACATGGAGCGCCGCTGTTAGCAATGCACATTTCAATTAAAGAATTGAGGATACATGTATCATCACAAAATAAACAAATCTGAAAGAGGTTCATCCACCTATTGTACCTTTGTGTATGTACTTGGGTTTATTAACAAAAAAATCAAAAATATTACTTTTTACCAAAACATTCATCACAAGCCTGGTAGCCATGCATGGCACAGTCCCAGTTAGTTATCGAATTTAAGATATATAGTTTTGTTTATATAGTAATATAGCTGGAACATAAACTTGTCAGGAATATGATTATGATGATTGTTTAACATTAAAATGATTGACATTTGTATCTGATCGTCAAATGAGTATAGAGACATATTGCTCTAGAACAGCATTAATTAAAACAAAATCAGCCATTTTGAATACATGCATAATAAATATATAAAATTTGAACATAATCAGTCAAAGCATGTCGGAGATATGGCACTAGAACTGCATTCATTAATACATAATGGCCATTTTAAATCTGATCTCAAAAATTAAATTATGTGCATCAGGAACCCGTAATGTCTAATGTATGTACCAAGTTTGAACAAAACCCATCCATAAATGCTTGACATTTGATCGTCAAATCAATATATATCTGTATATCTATGACATGATTTATAATGAAAATTTAAAATTTGAACATAATCAGTCAAAGTAAGTCAGAGATATGGCACTAGAACCACATTCCTTAAAACAAAATGGCTGTCAGTCAACCATTATGAATCTTACATGTATCTGAAAATTAACAAAATGATGTGCATCAAGGTCCTATAATGTATATACCAAGTTTGAACAAAATCCATCTGTAAACAGCCGAGAAATGCTTGATTTTGATGATTTTTTAGCACCAAAAATGGCCTCCATTCGGACATCTTGAATCAGAACGTGAAACAAATTGCATGCATATGTATAATATCATGTATGATGTATGTGTAAAGTTTGATTGTGATTGGTCCAGGCATTTCTTAGATACAGGTCCGAACGTACGCACGGATGCACTGAGGTCAAAACATGAGTCCCTGTTTTCGGACTGCGTAGAAGTTGTGCCTATATATATAATATCAAAGCAATCACACTTTTTCAACAATATACATGCATCTCACAAAAATGCATCTCAAGCTTTTGTGAAAAAATAATTTGCACAGTAGTTCTACTTTTATGGTTTAAATAGCTCCACTGTCTTTGTAGATTTTCTTCCTCAAAACAAAAAATATGAGTGCCATGGTTATTGTTACCACAACTGGGAGTACATAAAAAAAAAATGAAAATATCATCACAGAGATATAACCGAATCTTGCAGCTCCCACTCATGATACCTACATACATTGTACTATTAAAAGTATCAAAGGAAAAAATGAAATTGAAGAATTGAAGATGTCATCATGAAATGAACAAATCTGAGAGAGGTCCACATACATTTGTATAGTACCTATATATAAAATATCAAAGCAATTGGACTTGCTGTTTTTAACAAGAAGTTGAAAATATCACTTTTTACCAAAAACAAAAATATTCATCAAAATTATAGAATTTGAGATTTTGACATGAAATGAACAAATCTGAGCAAGAACCATCCAAGGTAGTTGCATATCAAATTTGAAAAAATAGGCCAATGGCCTGTTGCTCAACGGCTATTGTACAAAATTAGTGTTGTAGATGCCACACCATTTTTCGTTTAAATTTGTACTTTTAAATGAAATAACGCCAAACAACCACACAAAGTTGTCAATGGAATAATAAACACATGTATGCCTAACACCAAGGCATTGGAAATAGTGGTTAGTTGAAATTCCATTTTTAACCAAAAATGAAAAAATATTCGTCAAAATTAGAGAATTAAAGATATGGCCATGGGATGAACAAATCTAGTAGATGTCAACACAAAGTACATACACGCCAAGTATGAAAGCATTCAGGCTACCGGTTTTGAAGAACAAGTCGAAAATAGAATTTTTGACCAAAAATGACCATTTTAAAATAGTCTGAACTGAAATCAGGTCGGGTCGTGACAGCCGTTTTTTTTCATTATTTTCGCCTTAAGTTCTACCTTTCTACTCTCAATGGGTCCCGCAACTATTTCATCAATTATTTTGAGGGCGATGGTCCGAAAGTG